GTATAGGAAATATCTACTGCCCCTCACAGATCTATGGAAAAAACTGATGCACTTTCTCCTTTAAAGTAAATAGCTTGTTTGGCAACATCTATGAAGGGGTTACTCTACATACACTGAACGTATGCTCGTTGTTCACATCACCAGTGATGCTGTTATAGCTTCGCTATGTCGCTAGCGCAGATGCTATAACTTATTTCTGCTACACTTTATTTTCATTTCCTTCCTCTCCTTTGATGCATAACCCAGTAAAGGATATCCTGGAATTTTAGGAGGACCATCCTCACCTGTCTGGCGATCCAAAGCCTGAGTGAACTGGTTAATCGCAGGAGGCACCTTCAGCCGCTTGTACAGGATGGATCTCTGCCGCTGCAGTCTGATGTAGCGGGGCCATTTCACAAAACGTGTGAGGTCACGTTTTGGCTGGATATCCTGTCCTAGAAATACAGACTTTTAATCCAAAGCAGCTCCAAGATGACAAAGAAACGGCACAGAACAGACAGGAGTGCATCAGCGATCTTGGTGGTTATATGTCAGCACTATCATTCAGATAGCAAATATTCTTTCACATCATTTGCACGTACACAAAAAAAGAAACAAAAAAATATTCTTTATCAATTGACCACTTCACAGTTAACATAAAAGGGCAAGAATCACCACAACCCCATCAAGTGTTGAATTTTTGCATCATGCAAAAACTAACTAATGTTTGTGGTGATCTGCAAACACCTGGTGAAGGAACGATTAATCACTGCAAGTAACCAGAAAGGATCTTTACCACCTCTCTACAGGTTTTTCAGAATGCATAAAAATAGAGAACAACAACAACAAAAGCCTTTTCTGAACAGCAAGTGGAATAGCTCAACAACCGGCTTACTCACCGATGCCAAAGTTTTTGGGCCTCTTCTCGAAGAGTGGGTTGACAACCTTCTTGGCCTCCTGCTTCTTGACTACAGCAGGGGCCGGTGCCACCTTCTTGCCCTTGGCCTTCTTTCCCTTCGGCTGCAGGGAGGGAACCCGCCCCCCTTCCTGCCGCACGAAACCGCCCGGCTCGCCCCGCGCGAACAAGTCTTTATGTTTGGGTCAGAAACGCCCCGTTCCCCTCAGCCAGGCGGCCATGAGCACCGAGCTGTACCCGGGCTAGGCCCCAGCTCCAGCTTCCCCCGGACCGGCCGCCATCCCCGTACAAACCGGCACCCGCGGGCCCGCGCGGCTGTTCAGCATACTCC